ACTGAAGAAAAGGGAAGAACAGTGATGTCAAACGAATATACATCCTCATTCATCCTGATTTTCTTTTGTGTGAAATTTACGTATTTTAGTCTCAAAACTACGTGTTGTGGTCTTTCTCTTATGTATTGCGTTATGACGTTTTGTGTAAAATCTGTACCTGGTGGAGAAAAATGGATATCATTTTCGGATTCAGCGTACAGGAATTACTGTAGAATTCAAGACAATAAAACCATCGCAGACCTGTGTAATTTAAGACTTTACTACTATAATAGGGGCTGGAATGCCAACATCAGGAGGTAAGTTTATCTTACTTACCCCGAGTGGTAGAACCTTATTTTCATTTTTCTTTTTTCAACATGTGAGACAAGCGAACGGAAGTTGAGACTGGTAGACGGTGTATCCCCACCGCAATGCGGGTCTTACTTCCGCAGTATCCTCCAAAACCCAGGGCACATTTTATATCCAACATTATGGTCTGTACCCTGGGAATCCTTTTAATTTATGCAGCTTCTTCATTTTCGTTTTTTGTTTGGACTTGTTTTGTTCATTAAAATGTCGTTCATCACAGGTTTGGATTTGCTGTTTTTAACGCAGTCTTTCCTTTTGATGTTAATTTTTGCTTGACTGTTTAAGTACTAATTATATATATGATAGTTCAGCCTGCTGAGAACGTACTTGTTGGAAGAGTATCCCACGAGGACTAATGAGGCTGGATTCTGCAACATGAGGAATCAAAGAGAAGACAGGTTGTTATATGTGATACAGCCTATAGGTGTGAAATTTCACACGTGGTTGCATGTAATTAAAACTTAGCTCTTGAAATCCAAGTAAATATATATTTTTTAAATTTTCAAGTAGTTAACTTCAAGTTTAAAGGCTGTTTCCGTCGCTCAACCATTTAGTTTCTTTTTGTTGTTTTTTAAGTTTCATCGTAACGATAAATACATTAGATCCTATCAGGCCTATTTTTTAACTTTAGAAATGTTTATATCATAATCTTAGTTGGCAACATGAGCCTAGAACTTTCTGAATAAAATTAGTTCAACTCAATTTGAGATGGCATTACAGAAGCTACTAAACAATGTGCCATTAAGCATTGACTAGTCAATAGCTGCAAAACGATTCGACATTAATAAAGATACTTCATAATCACAAAGATCCACTCGCCACGATGGACTTTCAAGGAAGACCTAGCCGTTGTATGTTATTTACATAACTAACAACGTGGGTTTTGATGTTCTATACGTTCGTGAGAGAAAACTAACTTTCAAATGATTTTTACAAATTTGTGAATTTGTTATGATAATAGTTGTTTCAAAAGTATTGTGGTCAAGCGACTACCTGAATCACAAGTTATACAAACATATAGAACGGTATTCTCTAGAGTTGAATTTTTTATTTATTTTTTTTTTGCAATAGATTTTGAAAAATTAAGAACTAAATTTCTCGCATGGTTTTGAAATGAGAGACTCTTAGTTGTTGATTAATCTTATTATTAATTTAATAACGATTAATCTTATTATTTAGTGCCGAGTCTTATACCGTTAGGGTTAAGAAAAAAAAATGTGTTTCTTTATAGCTCTTTTTAACCTTAGACTAAATACTCTTCCCATAGCATAGGTCAACTACAATGGCTATTCGTACCCGTGAGAACGATAGCTATATAACTGTATATAACAATATGTTATCTTTCACAGCACAAGGGGAAAATATTGACATTCTACGCAGCCGAAAGTTTTCACAATTCAGGACGATAAAGTAAACTTAAATGAGTTTATCTGTTGCGAAACTAGAAAGTATACTCCCGTAGGAAATTGCCGTTGCTTCGTGAATTATATATAATCCCGATTAATTTCTTGTTTGTTTGTAATTAAACACAAAGCTACACAAGGGCTGTCTGTGCTCTGCCCACCACGGGTATCGAAACCAGGATTCTAGCGTTGTAAATTAATTTCTTATTTCTGTTTAAACATGTATATATAATTCTTATCATGTCAACAACCCGAATGTCTTGCACTTGTAACAACAGTACTAATATAAATATACTTTATCCAGGAGTAACGCGTATAACAAATAATATTACATTAACACATCCTTGTGTAGTAGTATGAATTAACGATGACTGAGAGTGTCATTACATTAGCTTTCCAGTACACCAGAAATTTTGTTGAAATCTGAACTTAATATTTAGACAGTAGCTAAAAGGAAAACATCAGTACCTTGCAGAAGACTGTAATAAATTATGGAATTAGATACAGAAGTGGCGATACCTGAACAAAATCAGCTGCAGCTTTAATCCCAATTATTTACTTTAAGGATACAATTTTTATTGATTTGTTTGTTTTGAATTTCGCGCAAAGCAACACGAGGGCTATCTGCGTTAGCCGTCCCTAATTTAGCCGTGAAAGACTAGTCATCACCACCCACCGCCTCTTTTACCACTCTTTTTGGATTGAACATCACATTATATTGCCCCCACGGCTGGAAAGGCGAGCATGTTTGGTGGGACGGGGATTCGAACCCGCGACCCTATGATTGCGAATCATGCGCCCTAACCAACTCACCATGCCAGGTCGCAATTTTTATGTCAAGGATAACCTGAATGCCATAGAAAACATATAAAAAATTTTTTGCTAATTATCAAGTTTTCATACAAGTTAAATCAAAAAATAAATTAGATTGTGTTTAAATTCTCATTCGAAGAAATCTTTATCTGGTGAAAAAAAAAACGGAAATGATTTTTCAAATTCTTCGGAAATTGGTAATTTAAAAATTCTTTTATATTCAGTCTCATATTTCTAAAATGAGAATCTTTTTTTAGTATTAACACATTTCGTTTATTTAACAGAACCTGTTAATTGTTGTGACTTAATTCATGTTTTCGAGAATGCGCTCTTTCTCCGACGATATAACTTTCAAGCAGATTGAATTCTATTTTTGTTGTCAGATTTACAGATAGTACCATGCACTAAATGTGCATTTTATTCCTTATACGGAAATCTAAGATCGATTTTTTTTTCGTTTTAATTTATACTTCTTTTAATCGTAAGCTACAAAAGACCGTATTTATTTAACTAAATTTTTTAGACAAAATCGTGTTCCAAAGAAGATTGATTGTTAACCATGCAAGAGTAGTAATAATCTGTAACGGATCAGCATGACATAAATGGTATTTTAAACGATGATATATCATCTCTTGTGAGATAAAAGGAATTTTCGAAAATAGGAACTGAATAGCTTATAAGAAAGATGTAAGATAGTTTTGGATACTACATTGTTAAACTTGTATAAATGATTGATTAACTATCCAGACTTTCATAAAAATAAAATTGTTAACACGTTATGCAATGAAATGTTGAATTAAGTTTTTTGATTATCTAAGGGCCAAGCGTGGCCTGGTAGTTATCATGCCGGACTGTGGGTCTGCGAGTTCCTCATTTGCGTCCCATTAACGCACAAAACAAACAATATATATGTATAAAACAAATGAGAATTACAATGACTACCTGAAATTACATGCTATTGTTTAGCTTACATATAGAAATTACCAGCACCCATATATTTCTACTTGTTCACTATAGTAAAGTTGTTTTGAACATAATCAATGTGGCTAAGAAATCTCATACAGCAGTGTGTATAATACAGAATGTTATTCTATAGGCCATACTTAATCTACAAAAATCAGAGTCAGTAATACTTTTGCAAAAAACAAATGCAAGGTTTTATCCTCTTGCACATTACTTGGATTTGGATATCATCATAAAAACTTATGACACGATTATCTGTTTACCTAGAAATATGATGCAGATGCTACTGTTTCGAAATTATTTACGTTTCATAGACTTTACAGCGTTATTTTGTTTGTTTTATGCGCAAGCAAAGCTACACGATAGACCATCTGCATGTATCGGACCCCAATTTTTAACGTTATAAGCCCATAAACTTACAACTACGCCACCGAGGGGCACATCGTATTTGAGCTTTTCTTAAACATAAAAACTTTTGTGAAACTCGGGAGTAAGTCGTTTCAGCAAGTAGGAAAGAGAAAGATATCTCGGCATTTTCGTTAATGTTATTTTAGTAAAGTTCCGCTTAACGACGCACAACGAGATAAAATCTGGAATGCATTAACCTTTTGATTTTAACAGCAAGAAAATTATTAAGAATAACTGAACTAAAGAGTAGTTTTAACTGAAAGTTAGTTGTAGATGTTTAATTAGTAGAGCCTTACTTTAAAACTTAATGCACGTTCGTTATCTTAACACGGTGGCCGTTATTGCTAAGTTGAAGTTGAAGGGCGTGGGATTTCATCGTGGGTTTGATAACAGTAATCCAGTAAAAGGATTAGAAAAACTCGGCTGATTGAATCTCTGAAATCATTTCTAAATCAGAACAAACCTTCCGTTCCAATACTTTTACAACTATAAGGCGGACTTTTGATTTAAGGAAAGTACTTACGACATTTTTAAAACCTGGTTTTCGTCACATTATTGCTGAAAATAGTTTGGTTATTGAAGTTTTTTTTCCACACTTATTTACTAGCTTTCATTTGGTATTTTCCTCCGGAAATACTTTTTTACTTTGATAGAAAACGGCTTTCATTTGGTATTTTCCTCCGGAAATGCTTTTTACTTTGATAGAAAGCGGCAAAAATAATTATTTTACAATACCTAGGTACTGTAGCAATACAACATATCACAGCAAATAGTTTCAGTAAATGTAACCGTTAAACAAGAATTTCTAGTCATACAACAATCTCTTGAGTGTTATAAAATTTCTCTGTATGATGAAATCATATCCTTTTTCACATATAGTTGTCACTCTGTAGTGGATTAATTGTTATTACAGTTTGTTCAAATAACATTATAGTGTCTTCAGTGCAGTTGAATGTAGCAAACTGATTTTATTTGTTTCAGAGCATCATATTACAGTTCATGTTAAATTTGATATAGCAGAGGAATTCGTCAGAAGGTTAGGTTTTAGGGGAATAACCTATCTCGAAAGTAAACGTGTTTGAAGAACGATTACACTAGTGTAACGTATTATAAATTGCACAAGTTACTGCATATTGTGCTTACAACCGATTAATTTTGTTACCAGTTGGGTTATTCCAATAAGACCGTTTGTCGTGTTTCTTTTTTAAATATTTGTAAGTAGACAAACGTTATAAATAGCCCATTGTCTGTTTGTATGTTTGTTGTTAAGCGCAAAGTTACATAAAGGGCTATCTGCACTCCATTCACCGCGGGTAATAGTGTTGTAAGTCTGGAACAATTGGGCTAGAGCACAGTTCAACTTCACCGAGTTTTTTTTTATGAATGGTAATGTGTAAAATGTGTAATGGTAATGTAAAATGTGTAATGTGTATACAGCTATGGTGATTTTTCTGGGAAATACATTTTGCGATTGTTTTGATAGCTTTTTGTCCAAAAGAGAAGTACCTCACCCAGTGGCACAGCGGTATGTCTGCGGACTTACAACATTATAAACCGGGTTTCGATACCCGTGGTGGGCAGAGCACAGATAGCCCATTGTGTAGCTCTGTGCTTAATTACAACCAACCCAAAAATAATTTATGGTGGCTCATAATTTTGTAATGAACTGCAAGCTAAAAAAATAAAAAGTAAAAGAATAGTTACTATTTATTAACGCTTTGAACCAGTCTTATATCTATGTAAAAGTAAAAGAATAGTTACTATTTATTAACGCTTTGAACCAGTCTTATATCTATGCGAATTTTCATAGGACTTATTATATTTTAGACTAATGAAGTCGAGCGCATATTGATGATACTTTCATGTTTTTCTTTTCGTTAATTTATCATTTGCCGTCTGTTTGTTAATTTATAATGAAAGACCTCTGCATTTTGTTTGTATACCCACTGGCTTTTCTTAAAATAATTACACGCAGATGACTAGTGGAATACATTTTGTTGACCGCTTACAAGTATATTTTGGAAAAATTATATATTAAGTTTAATAACCTTATATACACATATTTTTTCCGTTGTCAAGTTATGAAAAAGTGTAAAAATTCTAAACAAGTAAGAAAAACTAAAATAATTCTGTATATGGAAGTAGTAAGAGAGTGATATCAGATGTTATCTTATTCTGAAATTAGTAAAAAAATTATGAAAAGAAACGCTTCTTACGAGAGAGAGAGAGAGAGAAGTCACTTGACCGTTATCGTTTCGGTTTACAAGGCTTCTAAACATCTCTTTTTATCATAGGTGTTATCGTACTATTAGAATAATATATAAAATGGATATATAATAATATTTTAGCAGAGTAAACTAGCCATATAGAAATAAAGAGTAACTTACTGACTTATGAAACTAATTCTGTTTTACAAACTAATACCACAAATACGTAGAGAAAAAACTAAAACTTTTAATAATTAATTAAACTGCTTTGAATAATCATTTGAACACCTATACTGCGAATGATATTTTCTGTCTTTCTCCTAGCATTTTAAAATTGCCGTTTCTAGATAGAAAAACAAAATCCTGATATTTAAGGGGGAATGGCATGTGTATTAGCAGAAAGAATATTACATGGTATTTGGGTGTATAGTAGCCAAAAGCACTAAATGAAATATATATATTTTTTTACATTTATAACAACTTTATGTATTATAATAATTAACCAAAAGGTAAAACATTTAAAACACAATAAGAAAAAACGCCAACCCTTCTTCACTGACATATTAAACGCCCGTCGAGTAACAAGATGTACCAATTTGGGGAAATATCGATTTGAAATTGGTAATTAGAAAATCTGGAAAAATATTTTAGATTTGCCCATGCTGGAAATGTTTTATTCACGCAACACTCTTATGTTATGTGTTTCCAGTAAAGGCTACGTAGCTCTCCAGTGGCTCAGCAGTAAGTCTGAAAGCTTATAACGCTAAAAATCTGCTTCCAATACCGGTGGTGGCGCTTAACAACAAATAAACAAAGGACTACTTATAACGTTTGTCTACTCACAAACATTTAAATTTTATATACTGGTGTAATAATTACATTTAAGACTGAGGATAATCTTATGAAACTGATATAATAGTTTATTTTTATCTCCCTCAGACATAGTTTATTGGTTATTGTTAGTAAAATATAAACTTAGATTTAGTCTCAATTTTTAAAGTGAAAAATCAAGCAAAAATTCGCTTGTTGACACCGATCATTTAATAAAAGTGTAAGATATGTTATAATTGTAGTTAAATAGAATAAAAAGTACCTTAAGATCAACCATATTGATCTTTTGCTTGCAATGACAAAATAGAACGTATCAGGGATTACATATACACGTGTCTGTTTAGAATTAGTATTTAAATATTCATATCGCAGTTCTGCGTTACATATATATACACACAATAACAGGGATTGCAGTGAGCGTATCATGAGAAATCAGGCGGCGTTTAAATCGCTTTGTACGAAAATCACAACTGAATTATATGATTGTGGTTCGTTCTAAAATGTCTAGTCTTACGAGAAATAATTTAATATGCGCGACAACTACTTGTATTATATCACGTCAAATAGATTGATATATTTCAGGATGCGTCATACAGATAAGAAGCTCAAACGAGTGACCAGTAATAATTGAATATGAACTACAAGAACAAATCAAGTTATTTTCTGTTGACTTCATTGTAGATTGTGTAGGGTCTCTCTGTGTGTATATATACCAGGTTTTATCTCTACTTAATTTATCTAATTAAAAGATAAACAGGCTTACAATGATAATTTCGAATTATACTCGTGATTTTTTAAATATATAACCGAAATAGGTGAAGTGATGAAAATAAGGAACCACAATTTTTTACATTTTTTTTTTGGCAACCCAGTCTTTACGAAAGCTTTCATCATCTTGTGGGAATTGTTGACTTACTCCTGTATCATGTGTTTACGCTAGAACTTTTGGTATAAAATTATCAATTTTTAGTGCAAACTTCGTCTAATTTGGTTAAATGTCTGTCGATTCAAAATTAGGGAAGGCATGCGCAAAGACTCAAATAAAGAAGCTTCTTGCGCAACACCGTAAACGGTTTTTACTGTAATTCTAATGACTATAGATCATTATCTGTACCATCAGTATCTATGGATTAATTAAGATTAATTAAGACATACGTATTTATCTAAAATAAATCAGCATGTGCGGAATAATTAACATAGTATAACGAACCCTGCACGGAATAAATTCTCACTGGTCTTTTCTGGTAGCTACAATAGTAAATTAAGTTTCTCTTCGTTAAAATATGTTTTACTTTTATTCTACTCTTATAAATAATGATATATTAGGAGTATAATTATAAGTAAAATTATACTTTTTTTTCCAGAAAATATCAAACATAAAATTCCTGTTATTCATAGGTTTTGGCAACACAGTATTAAATTCTGTCATCTGGTGGACAAATATCTAACTAAAATATAATTGTTCGGTAATAAATCAGCTAGTTAAAAAGACTTTCTTCAAAGCAGAATGTCTCTTTAAAAGGACATGATATTAACAAATGTTGATAAAATCTTCCAATTATATGATATAATTACAGTATACTTGTCATTCAATTTTTGTCAAATTGATTTCAATATTTTATGTATAAAGTTTAGTATGTAACTAATGTTATATCTTCTATTTTAAGAGTATTTTACTACATTACCATTTAAGTTGTATAACATTTAGTCACTTATTTGTTATTCATAAAAGAAAGAAATTATCTTATGTCATTTAAAGATAACATTCACAAGAAACTATAGGGCAACTAATATGTACTTAATTGTTTTTTATATTTAATACATGTGGTTTCCTTTAACCTTTAGCCACTGTATTCAACAAATATTGGAAAGTGTCTATCACTGTCATCAGAATAATGTGGTCCATAGAGATCTCAAGGTAAGTTTAAAAATTTGAGTCTGATTAATATTATATGTTTGATACTAAGAAATGACATATGCTCAAAGACTTGGTAAATCATTTTACATGTATTAATTACTCGTGTTGTGAAACACAAAGACATTTAATCTACGTACTTCCTTTTTTATAATGCTTTCAAAGGAACTTTTGAAGCAAATAATGGTTATTGTTTGCTAATGAGTTAACTTATCTAGATAACCTATACCTAATTAAATAATTAACTGGTATATAGGGATACTTAATATTATTACATGTAAAGAAAATTGTTTTGAAGCTTGTGAATTATCTCAAACATAAAATTCTGGCTTTACTTTTTGTATAATAATTTTTATATTTTAGTCTACTGGATGATTCCTCCTTCAAATTATTCTGCCTTTTGATTTCCAGTTGAAAGACCTGAAATGGTAGTCACTACTGGTTCTGAAACATCTTCAAAACCAATATCAGAATCATAAGGAATTTTATAGAAGAGTCTGTCAACATACACAGCTTTAAGTCACTTTGGATGAAAATACAAAAAACTTGCTGTAGTCTGTTCACAAACTTTATGATTGCAAACAACTCGAGTTTATATATATGTCTCTAAGATGAAATACTAATGTTTCACAAAACTTTCAGTGATGCATTACGTAGTTAACTGTTTCTACGATTCTAAGAAGTATGTATTAAATACACATATTATATATACACATATATAAATGCATGTTGGAGTATATATTCTCATTATAATTATTCAGAAATATTACATTTGTGGATACAGTTTAAATCATCACTGACTTAATAAGCTTTAGTTTTAACTTCTCATATGTGAAAAGGAAAAATTTAGATCTTTTTTTTATACTGAACTTATTTTTGGTCTCATTTCACCAGCCAGAAAATCTCCTCTTAGCAAGCAAGACTAAAGGAGCAGCTGTGAAACTAGCAGATTTTGGTCTCGCTATTGAAGTGCAAGGAGACCAGCAAGCTTGGTATGGTAAGTGTTGTTACATGTAGATGAGCAAAGAAATCAACTTTTCAGTACAACTAATTACTCTTTCTGTATTGTACCTCCCACTATTATGTTGCTAAAGTGGCAAAAAAATAACTTTTGGTTTTTGCTTCTCTTAAAGAAATGAGTGATTTAGTCATAAGTCAAAATGTGAAACACAACCTATTACTACCTATTTCTGGACTCTAACAAAAGTGTGCAAATAAGCTAAGAAAAAGCAAAACCTAACGTTTTTTTGTTCCATAACTTAATAATTTGTTTTTCCAGTTTCTTGAATGTTTATGCTATTGAGGTAATTGAAGTATTCCTTTTGAATTACCTTTATATCTGTTTATTTTCACACTTTTTTTTTTGTCTATCACAAGGTATTACTTAGAAAGTTTTTAATTCATTCAGTGTCTGAATTCAACACTAGGATAGACCTGTAGCAGTATTTGTTAGTGTAGGTTAGTAATGTGATTTCAGATACATTTTGGCTAAAGCTTTTTTCTTAAAATATTAATCATGTAATAAATTAACATGTGAAAAAATATAGGATGAAGGAAAATAAAGTTTCTTGAAAAACTTTGTTATGAGTAGGTATAAAAATAGAAGATGCATGAACCAGTTTTTTCTATAGTTTTGAACTTATGGTAATAAGAAAACATTATTTATAAATGTATTTGGTTTTTTTTGCCCATTCTACAAAAGCTTGAACAGAGTAAATTCCTAGCCCAGAAGATGTCTAATCAAAAAACGTAAAACATATAATAATAATTAAGAGCTAGTTTAACCCTTACTTGTTATTCTTCACAATTCTTTGGGGCACATGAGATTATTTTAAAATTACAAATATTTATCTCTGACTATAAGAAGAAAGATTTTGGGAAAGATCCTATAAATGATCCTCTTAGTTTAGAATATTATGTCTTTTAAATGCTGGAATCTTTTGATAGAGAACTTTAGAGAAGTATTTTTGAAAATTATAACTTATTCAGCAGTAGCCAACATTATTTTAAAACAGATTTTTTTCCCTCGTATTCTGTCTAATTTCTTCCTTCTCCAGTGACTCGGCAGTAAATATGAAGGTTTATGATGCTAGAAATTAGATTTTGATACTCTCAATTGGAGCACAACAGATAGTCTATAGTATAACTTTGTGCTTAATAGCAAACAAACAGGTTTCTTCATTTCTTATAATTTTTGTTTCTTTATATTAGGGTGTCATGATCATTAATCTTTTTTTACATTTTGTTGCTATATTGATGTGCACCATTAATTCTGTTAAATTTAATATTGATTTAAGATGATGGACAAGGCATCTACTGTAAAAAAATCTCTCTAACTGATAATGACCTGGAAAGGCTTTCTGGAAGATATGTAGTTTTATGATCTATTTTAATGTTGAGAATTATAAGATCATACAGTTAAAGAAAATAAATTAAAAAAGGCAATAGTAACTGCCAAAGTAATAATATTACATAGCCTTTAGGCAAAACTTTGCATTTTGAAGTAAAAGTAATAGTAAGTGTGGATGAAGACACAAAACTCAAAACATCATCTCTAGAAGTATCAACTAACTTATTTGCAAGGAAGTAACTACAGCTCTGAATAATTGCATGATTTAATGAAAAAGAAAAATATTTTCAGCCCAAGTATATCCATTACACCTAGGGACCTGAGAAATTAAATATTATTATTGAGCACCACCTACTTGCATGAGAAGTTTATACTAGCACATAAACCCCTATCAAAGACAGGAGTAGTTTAAAAATACAGTCCATTAACAATTATAATCTCAAATATTCTGAGAATGATTAAAGAATATTTCATATTAATCAATAAAATCAAAATGGCAGTTATTTACTAATTAAACTAAAGATTGATATTAGCAATCTATTACTAAAGATTAAACATCAAATTTAATACATCGTATCTTGCAGGCTTTGCTGGAACACCAGGATATCTGTCACCAGAAGTACTTAAGAAGGACCCATATGGTAAACCAGTTGATATATGGGCATGTGGTTAGTACTTTCCTTACATAGCATGTACTTATATATCAGTATGTTTGTTATGTTTTAGTACTATCACAAGGTATTTCATATTTATCAAATTATGTTTTTTTCTATTTTATACCATTTCAGGTGTCAAATTTTTGTTGTGTAGTGTTAAGTTGATTTTACAGATGCTTTCTATATACTTCATTTTTTGTGCATAATTGTTACATGTATTTCTTGATTGAGTCATTGTTTCATCTGCAGTTTATATTATGTATGTTTATCATATTGATGTAAGTTGTACTAAATTCCTTTTTTTTTACTACTTTTCTATGGATATTTGTATGGTGTATTATGTGTGTCACATCATTGTTTAATTATCCATAGACACTGAAAGCTACTTTATTATTGGTTCATCTGTATA